GTTGAAAATAGGAGAGAGAAAAATAAAATCTAATGTAATGAAAATTAATGGAGCTCAAACAGGTGCTTAATGTATTGTTAATCATGACTGTCCTTTTTATTTCTGAGTTGTGTTAGATGTACAATATTTTGTACAATCTAGTAGGCAAGGGAGGGGCCAAGTAGCAGCCTCCTATTGGAGGGGCGGCCGTTTAATCATGACTGCCACTTTTATTTTTGAGTTGTGCTAGATTGTAGAAAAAAATTGCCGCCCCTCCAATAGGGGCCGTCACTTGGCCCCCTTGTCAACTGGATTATACAAAACATTGTACAAATAGAATTATTTTTTTATTTCTACAATAGTGCTAAAAGTACATTCATTTCCTTAAGTTATTTTGACATCCTCTTTGTTTTCAAATAATTGTGGGCGAAAAAATTATTTTTTTAGACGATCTAATTGTGTGTTTTCATGTTGTACAATGTAAACAATAATGTAAAAGATAATTTATATGTAGCATAATAATTCTTTCTATTTTTTTAACGTACTTAGAACGTTGATTTCAGATTTTAGTGACTTGACGTGGGTTTATTTGATTTGATTATCAATTATAAGTTATTTAATTAGAATTTGAAAAGTACCCAATTGATGCTTAATCCGAGTGAATGATTGAATTTAGTCGGATTACTGAGTTAACTATATAAATTTGGAAACATTTATCCTTTGTTATAAAATTCAAAATTTTAGTAGATTTTGATAAAAATTAATGAAATATGTGATTAAAAAATTGTCTCATAAAATGTGACTAATTAGGTTATTTAGGTGTTCCTAAAGTCTGAAATTGACAGCGAACTTAACTGTAAAAGATTTTTTACATTATTATGTTAGTGGAAATTACACAGGCAACTCCATTATTATCGATAAAATCTTTTTTTTACCATTCAACATTTATAGTCATTGAAATACTGATATTTATATGTAGAAATAACATATAAATCGCCACACTCATCAACAAAGCCAATATTCACACTCATCGTCACTATTTCACATTTTAATTTCACGTCTTCTTTCTAAATATCTAATCCATAATTGTTTCCTTTGATTTATCATGCAATATGAAAGTACTCTTCAACTTAGAAAATAAAAAGTAATTCATTAATATATAAGGATCCATTCCTCCTGGCAAGGTTCTTGACAAATAATTTTGACGGAAAATTTCAACCATTTATTTAAAATTTGGATTTTCAATTTGAAGATGGTATGAGAAAGCGGAAGGAGATGACACAAGAAACATAAATTATAGGGGGTTGGAGTGTGTTGTGAGTCTTCCATTTTTAACTTTCAAAGGATTTTAATTAAATCATCTAAATCAATAGATTAACTTAAGGCAATCCTAGGCATAATCTCCTCTGCGCATTAAAAAGGAAAGAGCTCGAAATCTTGACCTTTGGGATCTGTTTTGCAATCTAAAAATCTTTAAGGCATAAAGGAAACCGGACTTGATCACCAAGTGTTTGCATATCTACAGCCAGCCCAAATGTTAACAAGAATTTTACGCATTTTTAGGGATTACGTTGCCATTGATCTCTCCATCACCATCAGCTTTATGAGGTAAAAATGGGGCAGCAGAGTGTAGCCTAAAAGATTTTCACCACAGCCTGCAAGTATGAGAGCATTGAAATGTCTGATCCTTGAATTTGACCATTTGTTTCTAGCTTATAATATCTTATTTGGGTTGCGCAATAACTCTGGCAATGCCCGTTCCACTGTGCTTGAAGTTGTATTTGCCCCAACTACAAATAAATCCTAAAAATAGAAAAAACTTAATTAGGCATTTCCTAATCAAAATCTGGTCTTAAATTTTTATGTTGGAATAATTTATAATTTCATATGTGGGCTTCACATTCGATTGCAAAATTTTACGGGTTAGATGTATGGCTCATAATGATAT